TGTGTGTGTGTGTGTGTGTGTGTGTGTGTGTGTGTGTGTGTGTGTGTAATTAATTCATATTTATAAAAAGAAGTCCAATAAAGAGTAAAAGAAAGTGCTGTTAAGCCTGTTGTCTCAGAGAAGCTAGAGGCCCTGGAGGATTAGCCTGTGTTAGAAGAATTCTTTTCTATGAAGAATCCTCTTGAACACTGACAGTATGCTTTTATTTCAGCATCTTAGTTGTAAGTTCTGGGCATTTTCCTCTATCAGGATTTTACCAGGATATGATTTGCTCAATATTTAGTGTGCTTTTGCAAATGTGTTTCCAAAATTTCTCGTTGGTTTACAAATTTTATATTGGATGGGGCTTGTTTCTCTGTTTTTTATATTGCTAACTAATTAGCTGCTGCCCATGAGTCTCGTGTGAATCACTAGACCAGATTACTGTGTGGTCAGTCTAGAATGACTTTGCTTGTTGGGTAACACTAACAATATTGAAAGACACTTGGCCTATAGAAACTCAAAAGTGCTCCAGGTAAGAAAACTGTTGCAACTTCCTCTATAATAGGTAAGAACTAACTCCATCTTCACATTCAATTTGCTATACATATGTACTGTCATGATCCTATCTATCAAATTTTTATGAATGGTGTGAGTAATCTGATAAGATCCTTATTGAAGGGTTGCCAATTTCACTGCATTATCAGTTTGTCTTTGCACCTTATTTATTATAGAAATGCCTTCTTTTCTGATTAAGTTGATGTAATTATTTCTGTCTTTTTAAAGTGCAAAAATATGAATCCAACATTAGTAAAAGGAAAATAATTGTGTTATCTACTTCTGGATTATTGTTCACCTTGGTTGTCATTTTTGGAGCCTCTCATTTTATCCCAGGTAAGATGCACAGGTACTGGGCTGTAATTTGTGCACCTGATGTGAGGAACATCCCAAAGAGGAGCATATTGATCCCGATAGCTCTTGGGACAGATGTGGCAAATGATGTGGCCTCAAAGAACAGAAGATTTCTCAAAGATCTGGACCACTTATTTCTGAAATTTCTGTGTGCTCAGCATTGTGCTGCCTCGTGAAGCTCTGGTGGGAGTGTGGGGTGTGTTTCACTTCCTGCCTCTTGTAACTTCCAGTGTTTGCAGGCGATGCTCAGCTTACCTTGTGGCAGAGTAGCTCCCTTCTCTATTCTTCCATCATCTGCCTCACCAGGTTCTTTATGTTCAGTTTGTGCTCTCTTTCTCCCTCACAAGGACAGTACCGTTGAAACTGAAGACAATTGCTTAACTCTGTTTAAAATTCCTCCTTCTACCTCTTGTCATAGTTTTGGTGACAGGAAGTTGAAAATGTGGATACAACCACCATTCAAGCCACTATGGAGGCAGGCAGGCTTCACTGGCTGAGATGTGGAAATGGGCATGCCCATGGGAATCATGTCTCTCTGCAGTGGTCATTGAGCTGAAAGACGGACGTGTGAATGGTAGATAACAGCAGAGGGCATATTCTGGGGATGAAAGGCTAGGACTAAAAGGCAGACCACATAAAACCACTGCCTTCTCTTAGGGAGACTGAGGCACAGGCAGATCTTTAGAACACAGATTTGGCAGCCGGGTTTGCATCCATGACTGGTGAGGGCCTGAGGAGCTGATGAACTCAGAAGGCGATGTGAAAGAGCAGGTGATTTGGCTTGGGGACAGGCTGAACACTGAGAATGAATGGACGGTGGACGGTGAGGGCAAGTTCATCATCTGGAAGATTTAAGTCAGCTAAAGAGTTAAAAACCAAATAAAGGTTTCATGTGATGAGGCTCTAGCATTAAAATTTGTATCAATCATTTGAGTCCTAAGTAATTGAAAAATGTTGACTCATTCTAAATTTGGAAGAAAATATGTTAAACATTTCATACTTTATGACTGCCGAATTCAGGGTAATGGACTTAATAAATTCAGTACATTAACTTCCCAAATAGCAGCGACACATAGAAAAATACACTTTTTGCTTGTTAACAGGTGATTTTTCAGAAAAGAAAAGCAATGGACTTATTTTCTTGGTTATTCCTTCAGTGATACCTGTATTCCTTCAGTACCATAAGTTTATGCCAGGTAAGCATTTGATGTTTTAGCATGATTTTAACAATCATTTTACTTAAAAGAAAGTACTTTGGGGAAAACCTTCTATCCTATTTTAAAAATTACCTTCCTTATTTTGAGTATTTCACCCACAGGAAAAATTAAGTGTGGTTATAACCATCCCCAATTCCTCCTCTCACTGCTCCAATATGCCACCAGCATGTCCCCATCAACTTCATGTCTTTTTATTTTGTAATATGCTAGAACACTAAATTCAGTTAGTGTTAACCATGTATTCATGAATGTGAGGCCATCTACTGAAGTGTGGGAAACCTAACATTGCCCATATCCTCAAAAGAGAATGGTTTCCCCTTCCCCCAGCAGTAATCAGTGGCCAGCGAACTCCTTAGTAAGGAGTGGAACCTGGAGAACACCACCATCCATGTCAGAATCTTGACGGGCTTGATCTTCTGCTGGTCTTGCTCAGGTAACCAGAGCAGCTGTGAGTTCATGAAAGCAATAGAAGTAGCATGTTCAGTAGACAGCAATTCTACTGCGGCCCTTCCTAACCAGGTTCCAACACTGTTTCCAGCTCTTCCAAAATGTTCTATACACCCTAGTTGTTGGTGGTGGTAGGTGATTAAGACTCAGTTCTTTACTCTCACCTGACTGTTTCTCATGGCAGAAAGGAACTTCCACACAAAGGTAGCAAGCAACACAGATCTACTGGGCATAAAAATGAATCTTTAGAAGGCAGTTTGGCAATATGATCATTTAGCAAAATAGCAGTAACAGTTTCTACCCTAAGGCCTATGAACTTCAAGTCAATTTTCGACCAGGATTATACTACCAGGCATGAAATGTCCTCTCGCTGATCAAATCTCAAATCCTATCAAAAGTGGTTACCAAGTAAATGTTGTGCCACTATTGCCCAGTAGGTTCATGTTGCCAGGGAAGGCTGGTACTGTAGCATGAAGGTCAAACTTGGTAAAAATCATTGAAGACTTTCATACCCTAGATACCTATATAACACCTTCTGTCACTATGAAAACTAGCCAGCAGAGTGGATGTTTTCCACTTTTTTAAATACTGATTTTCATACAATTTGGTGTATTTAAAGTATTTCCATCCTGGCTGTGGTAGTGCACACCTTTAATCCCAGCACTTGGGAGGCTGAGGCCGGCGGATGTCTGTAAGTTTGAGGCCAATCACTTCTACAGAGCTCGTTCCAGCACAGGCTCCAAAGCTACAAAGAAACTTGGCCTTGGAAAAAAATTCCAAAACTATTTCTAATGATATCTACACATAATGACAGATCTAACATCTTAGATCTTTTTTTTTCCTCAAAGTTTATTAAAATACAAAAGTCTCCATTTCCGCCCCTCCTCCCAACCCCCTCCCACTCCCCCCACTCCCTCTCCTCCTCCCTCTCCATCCCCAAGAGCAGTCAGGGTCTCCCACCCTGTGGGTAGTTCAAGCTCCTCCCCCCTCCCTCCAGGTCCAGGAAGGTGAGCATCCAAACAGACTGGATCCCAAAAATCCAGTATATGCAGAGGAAACAAGTCCCAGTGTTATTGTCAATGGCTTTTCAGAAAGACTCCGGGCCAGCCACATTCAGAGAATCCGGCCTCATTCAGAGAATCTGGCTGGATCACATGCTCGCTCAATCCCAGTCAACTGGCCTTGGTGAACTCTCATTAGATCAGTCCCCTTGTATCAGTGGGTGATTACACCCCTCGCGGTCCTGATTTTCTTTTTCATGTTCTTCCTCCTTCTGTGCCTCATTTGGACCTTGGGGGACTCAGTCCGGTGCTCCAATGTGGGTCTCCATCTGTATCGCCATCCATCGACGGACGAAGGTTCCCTCTGATCTTGCCTTCCTTGCTCACGTTCTCTTTCCTTCTGCTTCTCGTTTGGACCTAGGGAGTTAAGTCCACTGTTCCAATGTGGGTCTCCGTCTCCAACTCCATCCATCTCCAGATGAAGGATCTATGGTGATAAGCAAAATATTCATCAGTATGGTTATGGGCCAAGGCCAGTTCAGGCACCCTCTCCTCTGTCCAGAGAACAATCTGGGGATCTCTCCTTGGACCTGGGATCCCATTTATAATCAAGTCTCTAGTAAACCCTAAACTGACTCCCTTAGTTGAGATATATTCTTCCCTGATCCCATATTCATCCTTGCTCCCTCTCCCCCTCCCAGTCCCCCGAGCATTCCCCATTCCTCCCCTGTTCCCTTTTCTCTAACCCTCTCCCCTTCCAACAACCCTCCTACCCCCCCCATGCACCCGCGGTTACCTGGGACACTTGTCTATTTCCAATCTCCAGGAGGAAAACTACCTGAATTTTCTTCAGGTTCACCCTCCTATCCAGCTTCTCTAGGATCATGAATAATAGGCTCAAAGACCTTTAATTATGGCTAGAATCCATTTATGAGTGAATACATACCATATTCCACTTTTTGGGTCTGGCTTACCTGACTCAGTAAAGTGTTTTCTTCTTTTTTTTATTATTTTTATTATTTTTTTATTTTTTTATTTAATTTTTACTGGGAACCCCTCCAGAATCAAGTCTCTTGCAAACCTTAAAATGGCTCCCTTAGCTGAGATATAAACCTCCCTGCTCCCCCAACCATTCTTCCTACCTCCCCCCTCCCATTCCCCCAAGCCATCCCCAATCCTCCCCCTCTCCCTGACCATCTTCCCTTACTTTCACCCCACCCCCACCCCCCAGGCACCCGAGTTTGCCTGGCAATCTTGCCTAGTTCCACTATCCTGGACGATAACTATATGATTGTCTTCAGGTTCACCTTCTTATTTAGCTTCTCTAGGATCCCAAATTATAGACTCAAAGACCTTTAACTATGGCTAGAATCCACTTATGAGTGAGTACATACCATATTCCTCTTTTTGGGTCTGGGTTACCTCACTCAGTAAAGCGTTTTCTATTTCCATCCATTTGCATGCAAAATTCAAGATGTCATTTTTTTTTTTACCGCTGAGTAAAACTCTAATGTGTATATGTTCCACACCTTCTTTAACCATTCTTCTATTGAGGGGCACCTAGGTTGTTTCCAGGTTCTGGCTATTACAAATAGTGCTGCTATGAACATAGTTGAACAAATGCTTTTGTGGTATGTTAGGGAATCTCTTGGGTATATTCCCAAGAGTGGAATTGCTGGGTCCTGAGGGAGGTTGACTCCCAGTTTCCTGAGAAACCACCACACTGATTTCCACAGTGGCTGCACAAGTTTGCATTCCCACCAACAATGGATGAGTGTTCCCCTCACTGCACATCCTCTCCAGCATAGGCTATCGTTGATGTTTTTGACTTTAGCTATTCTGACAGGTGTAAGATGGTATCTCAAAGTTGTTTTGATTTGCATTTCCCTGATCACTAGGGAGGTTGAGCATGTCCTTAAGTGTCTTCTGGCCATTCGAAGTTCATCTGTTGTGAATTCTCTGTTCAGTTCAGTACCCCATTTTTTAATTGGGTTAATTAGAGTTATATTGTCTAGTTTCTTGAGTTCTTTGTATATTTTGGAGATCAGACCTTTGTCTGATGAGGGGTTGGTGAAGATCTTCTCCCAGTCAGAAGGCAGCCTTTTTGTCTTACTGACAGTGTCCTTCGCTTTACAGAAGCTTCTCAGTTTCAGTAGGTCTCATTTATTCATTGTTTCTCTTATTGTCTGTGCTACTGGGGTCCTACTTAGGAAGTGGCTTCCTGTGCCTATATCTTGTAGACTACTTCCCACTTTCTCTTCTATCAGGTTCAAAGTGGACAGATTAATGTTGATGTCTTTAATCCATTTGGACTTGAGTTTTGTGCATGGTGATAGATATGGATCTACTTTCATTCTTCTACAGGTTGACATCCAGTTATGCCAGCACCATTTGTTGAAGATGCTTTCCTTCTTCCATTGTATACCTTTAGCCCCCTTGTCGAAAATTAGGTGTTCATAGGTTTGTGGGTTAGTATCCGGGTCTTCTATTTAATTCCATAGCTCGACTTCTCTGTTCTTATGCCAATACCAAGCTGTTTTCAATACTGTAGCTCTGTAATAGAGTTTGAATTCAGGGATGGTAATGCCTCCAGAAGTTCCTTTATTGTATAAGATTGTTTTGGCTATCCTGGGTTTTTTGTTTTGCCATATAAACTTGATTATTGTTCTCTCAAGGTGTGTGAAGAAGTTTGATGGGATTCTGATGGGGATTGCATTGAATCTGTAGATTGTTTTTGGTAGAATTGTCATTTTTACTACGTTGATTCTCCCAATTGAAGAGCAAGGGAGGTCTTTCCATTTTCTGGTATCCTCCTCAATTTCTTTCTTCAAAGACTTAAAGTTCTTGTCAAATAGGTCTTTCACTTCCTTGGTTAGAGTAACCCCAAGATATTTTATGCTATTTGTGGCTATCGTGAAAGGTGATGTTTCTCTGAGTTCCCTCTCTGCTTCTTTATCCTTTGTGTATAGGAGGGCCACTGATTTTTTGGAGTTGATCTTGTACCCTGCCACATTACTAAAGGTGTTTATCAGCTGTAGGAGTTCTTTGGTAGAGTTTTTGGGGTCACTTATGTATACTATCATATCGTCAGCAAATAACGAAAGTTTAACTTCATCTTTTCCAATTCGAATCCCCTTGATCTCCTTATGTTGTCTTGTTGCTATTGCTAGAACTTCAAGCACTATATTGAAGAGGTATGGAGAGAGTGGACAGCCTTGTCGTGTTCCTGATTTTAGTGGAAAGGCTTTGTGTTTCTCTTCATTCAATTTGATGTTAGCTGTCGGCTTTCTGTATATTGCTTTTATTATATTTAGGTATGATCCTTGTATCCCCAGTCTCTCCAACACCTTTATCATAAATGGGTGTTGAATTTTGTCAAATCTTTTTTCAGCATCCAATGAAATGATCATATGTTTTTTTCTTTCAATTTATTTATATGATGGATTACATTGATAGATTTGCGTATGTTGAACCAGCCCTGCATCTCTGGGATGAAGCCGACTTGATCATAATGGATAGTTTTTCTAATGTGTTCTTGGATTTGGTTTGCCAGTATTTTATTGAGAATTTTCACGTCGATGTTCATGAGTGAGATTGGCCTGTAATTCTCTTTCTTGGTTTTGTCTTTGTGTGGTTTTGGTATTAGGGTAACTGTAGCTTCATAAAAGGAGTTTGGCAATGACTCTTCTGTTTCTATATTGTGGAATACATTAAGGAATATAGGTATTAGCTCTTCCTGGAAGTTCTAGTAGAATTCTGCATTGAAACCATCTGGTCCTGGGCTTTTTTTGGTAGGGAGATTTTTGATAGCAGCTTCTAATTCTTTACGACTAACAGGTCTATTTAGATTGTTCACTTGTTCTTGGTTCAACTTTGGTATATGGTACTTATCTAAAAAAATGTCCATTTCTTTTACATTTTCCAGGTTTGTGGCATATAAACTTTCGTAGTAAGATCTAATGATTCTCTGAATTTCCTCTGTGTCTGTGGTTATGTCCCCCTTTTCATTTCTGATCCTATTAATTTGCATGTTCTCTCTCTGCCGCTTGATTAGTTTGGATAGGGGTTTGTCAATCTTGTTGATTTTCTCCAAGAACCAGCTTTTTGTTTCATTGATTCTTTGGATTGTTTTCTGTATTTCTATTTTGTTGATTTCAGCCCTCAGTTTGATTATCTCCAGTCTTCTACTCCTCCTGGGTAAATCAGCTTCTTTTTTTTCTAGATCTTTCAAGTGTGCTGTTCAGTCTCCAATGTGTGCTTTCTCCGCTTTCTTTAATTGGGCACTTAGTGCTATGAACTTTCCTCTTAGCACTGCTTTCATAGTGTCCCATAGGTTTGAGTATGTTGTGTCTTTATTTTCATTAAATTCTAGGAAGACTTTAATTTCTTTCTTTATTTCTTCCTTGACCCAGGGATGATTTAGTAGTTTACTGTTCAACTTCCATGAGTTTGTTGGCTTCCTGGGGGTAGCATTGTTGTTGAATTCTAATTTTAATCCATGGTGATCTGACAAGACACAGGTAGTTACTAATATTTTTTTGTATCTGTGGAAGTTTGCTTTGTTACCAAGTATGTGGTCAATCTTCGAGAAGGTTCCATGAGCTGCAGAGAAAAAGGTATATTCTTTCCTATTTGGCTGGAGTGTTCTATAGATGTCTGTTAAGTGCATTTGATTCAATACCTCCAATAAATCTCTATTTCTCTGTTTGGTTTCTGTCTGATTGACCTGTCCATTGGTGAGAGAGGAGTGTTGAAGTCTCCTACTATTAATGTGTGTGGTTTGATGACTGCCTTGATTTCTAGAAGAGTTTCTTTTACATATGTGGGTACCTTTATATTAGGGGCATAGATATTCAGGATTGAGACTTATTCCTGATCAATTGTTCCTGTTATGAGTATGAAATGTCCATCTCCATCTCTTCTGATTGATTTTAGTTTGAAGTCGATTTTGTTAGATATTAGAATGGCCACACCCGCTTGTTTCTTAGGTCCATTTGCTTGGAAAACCTTTTCCCAACCCTTTACTCTGAGTAGGTGTCTGTCTTTGTGGTTGAGGTGTGTTTCTTGTAAACAGCAGAATGTTGGATCCTGTTTTCGTATCCAATGTCTAAGTCTGTGCCTTTTTATAGGTGAATTGATTCCATTGATATTAAGTGATATTAATGACCAGTAGTTGTTGACTCCGGTCATTTTTTTTTTTTTTGGGGTAGTAGAGTGTATGTGTTTTCCTTCTTTGAGTTGTGCTTGTGAAGGGTCGCTAGATGTCTGAGTTATTGTAGGCAGTGTTGGGAATGTTGGATTCCTTGGGTTGTGATTTTTCTTCTAATATTCTCTGTAAGGCTGGATTAGTAGCTACGTATTGTTTAAATTTGTTTTTATCCTGGAATATTTTGTTTTCTCCGTTGATAGTGAACAATAGCTTGGCTGGGTATAGTAGTCTGGGCTTGCATCCATGGTCTCTTAGTTTCTGCAGTACCTCTATCCAGGACCTTCTGGCTTTCATGGTTTCCATCGAGAAGCCTGGTGTAAGTCTGATAGGTTTACCTTTATAAGTTACTTGACCTTTTTCCTTTGCAGCTCTTAATATCCTTTCTTTAATCTGAATGCTTTGTGTTTTGATTATCATATGGCAAGGGGATGTTTTTTTCTGATCCAGTCTATTCGGTGTTCTGTATGCTTCTTGATCCTTCATAGGAATATTGTTCTTTAGGATGGGAAAGTTTTCTTCTATAATTTTGTTGAATATATTTTCTGGACCATTGATCTGCAATTCTTCTCCTTCTTCTACTCCTATTATTCTTAGATTTGGTTTTTTTTTATTATGTCCCATATTTCCTGTATGTTTTGTGATGAGAATTTGTTGGATTTGCTGTTTTCTTTGGTCAGAGCGTTTATTTTCTCTATGGTGTCTTCATAATCTGATATTCATTCTTCTATCTCTTGTATTCTATTGGTTATGCTTGTTCCTGAAGTCTCTGTTTGTTTACCTAGATTTTCCATATCCAGCCGGCCCTCGGTTTGTGTTTTCTTCACTGCCTCCATTTCAGTTTTCAATTCTTGAACTGATTCCATTACCTGTTTGATTGTTTTTTCTTGGTTTCCCAGGATATCATTTACGAATTTACTCATTTCTTCAAACTTTTTGTTATATTTCTCTTCCATTTCTTTACTCATTTCTTCCATCTTTTTGTTATATTTCTCTTCTAATTCTTTAAGTGAGTTATTCATACCCTGTTTAAGAGACTCTATTGCTTTCATAATGACACTGTTTTCCACTTCTTCCGGAATAGGGTGTTCAAGTCCTTCTGTCGTAAGATTGCTGCGATCTGGTATTTTCATGTTGTTTTTCAGGTTGTTGGAGGAATTCTTGCCTTGGCGCCTGCCCATCTCTTCCTTCAGATGCTCTCCAATGGCTCTTCCCTCTGCTGGGTCTTCTGCTACCGGATTAGTGCCCCTTGCTATCCAGGAATCACTTTGCCTGCAGTCCTACCTTGCGGCAGGCATGCTATTAAAACAAAGGACCTCCCTCCCGTTTGCACTCACCGCCCGTCCTGGCTGCAGCGCCCACCCAGGCTGAGTTGGAGGAATTTAAGCCCCGAAAAAGGGAGAGAGGAAGGGTAGGGGTTCCAGGCAGAAAGCCGGGATGGTGTAGGAGGAGAGAGGATTTAGCTGTGGGAAGCCACCCCTTTGAAGTAGCCAGGGAGATAAGGATGGTGGGAATATTGTGTGTTCCCTTACCGGACTTGTGTGGTGGTCAGGAACACACTTACCCCTCCATTGTATCTTCTGCTACCAACATCTTAGATTTTGAAGGATTTTTTTTTGTAAAAAGTGATTTTTATATATGCAGCTAAAGTACCTCTCATCTGACATAATTGAGACCAGAAGTATTTTGAATTACTGTATTTCAAAGTTTAAGATATTTGCTTAAAATGTGCTGCTTGAGTAACTCTACTTAGGGAATCCAACATCGAATCAGCTCCAAGTTGGGAAAATTTTTACTATCAGATTTCAGGATTTCATGTCTGGAATGTTTGGCCTGCAATAACTCAAGGTTGCTTTCACATTCTGAACCTCAGGATACTGAAGTTATAAGCAAATTACAAGTTCAACCTTTCCACACAATTATCTTCATTAATAAGACTGCTTCTGCAAGATGAGTTTAAATATCAGGACGCAAAACAAGGACCTGTGTGTGTGTGTGTGTGTGTGTGTGTGTGTGTGTGTGTGGTGTTTAGGGTTTCATTTAGCTTGTTTTGGCTTGGTTTTGTTGTCATTATTGTTTCTGGAAAAATATATCTTAATATGTGTATACAAAACATAAACAGTATTTCCTTTTTATAGTTTAAAAGTAAACCACTAACATCTTTTTGATGTTATTATTAAAAAGTCACATCTCGGCCAATGAGATGACACAGCAGGTAAAAGTGTTTGCCACCAAGCCTAACAATCTGAATTTCATTCCCATAAATTACATAGTGGAAAGAGAGGAGCGATTTTCACATATTGTCTTCTGACCCTCACACACATACCTACTTCCTCCAACACAAAATAAGTAAACGCTTGGTTTTAAAGTCACTTTGTGGGTCATAAGGTCTCTCTGGGATTGTAATACACAAGAAAGGTTCCACTTCACAACCATAGATCCTTGAACAGCATAACAAACAATATTATATGTGTAATCACCAAGGCTCCCCCAAAGCAATTTTATGTCCGTGTGAAGAAGCCATGCATAATAGTCATTTATAATGTAAGATACACAAATGTGGCTTAAGCAGTGCTTTGTCGGGTTTAGAGTTGAAGCTTTTACACCTCTTCAGAAGAAAATGACAGTGAAAGTCTGATGAGTGGTGATCTGAAATCAACACTTCTGGAAAGAGTGACCTCACTGGGAAAATGTTGCCCTATGCAAACTTATACAGCCAGTACTTGCTTATAGTGCCTTGTTGTTGACTGTACCAAATGCAAGTAGATCTTACTGCTTCATTCTCACCATGCTTCTGCTTTGTCCTTTTCTTTCTTGTAGCCATTGGGAGGACCCTTCATGCCATGATCATATTAACAGTCATCCAAGCATTGGGTTCTGCACTTGCTGTGGTAGGACTATATTTTTCTGTAAATGGTAAGAGTCATGTTTTCCTGAAGCTTAATTTAAATTTCTCTTAGACAGACATCTTAATTTTCTTTTTCTTTATATTAAACTCTGTCTTTTTAAAGATGTCTTGGGCTCACAACAAGGTTCAATGGGCATTGCAGAGTTTCCATAAATTGTGTCATATGCTCTTCATGTACTTCCATACGCACTTCATGCCACATCATCTCCCACTATCCTCAACCAGACCACACATTTGTTATAATTGATGAATCACTGTTTAAGGGCTATCACCCACAGATTACACCATGGTTCCCACTTCCTCTGTGACCAACACATATGAAATGAATTACTCACTGTGTTTGTCATATACAACACCTTCAGTGATCCAAATCCCTTGTCCTTGCCTGTTTATTTCTCTGTCCCCACAAATAGCTGGCAACATTGACAATTTTTCATTATTAAGAATGTTTTTTTTTAAATTTACAAACATATCGTACTTAACCTTTTTCTATTGGCTTCTTTCCCCCATGCCTTTTCACGGTTTTATAGTTCACTATTTTTGAGTACAGAACATTTGTGAGGACACACAACAATACTTTTAATGCATTCATCTAATGAAGGATATCCTTATTGCTTTTAGATTTGTTGTGACTATGATTAGAATTTCTGGACATACATACATATTTTCCTATGGTTATGTACTATCAACTCCATTTGAGGAAATTCTGAAGTTTACACTAAGGGCATATTTAGTTTTGTAATTGTCTGTATCAAACAAACACAGCATTTTATATCACTGGCACCAATGACCATTCTTCAAATGTTTAGCACCTGTCAATTATTTTCTTTCTTTTACTATCATATTTCTTCCAGTGGGTATCATGCTTTCAATGCCAGATCAAGAATATTGTCTACATGTACCACATGGCCAGCTACCCAAATTATCATGACTCAATTCACAGAACTTGAAAAGCAGTCAGACTCAAACTGTCTGGTTACAGAATTTTCCATTTGTCCTGACTTGCATGTTATGAAAACATAAGTGTTTTTTCTTAAAACAATTTGGTATTATTCTGTTGGCTGACTTAATGATAGTCAGCACATATACTTAATTTTTATCTCCAACAATAATTTCTATCCTTAAAACTTGATATTATATATTTTTAAGCAGTTTGTATGTATTTATACTAACCAACTTCTTTGTTTTTACAGAGTGTGCACCAAAATATGGCTTCCTTGTAGTCTCAGGTTTGTTCATAGTAACTCTGGTAGAATTACTTGGATTAATTTACATGAAATGGCTAGGTAAGTCTGCCTTGTTTTGTTATCCTCTGTCAGAAATTAGAGCTATATAACTTGGACCATACTTTAGTTGCTTCCTCCAATTTTAGAGACAAAGAGATATATTATAGATGCCATGATTATAGGAATAGTTGCAGTGAACATGTAGGTACAGATTTTTTATCAGCATAACTGTTGCAACTTCAGCTCCTTAAGTAGTAGGATTGATGAATCAAAGGGTATGCTATTTTTCCTTATTAACTTGTTGAGGTGTCTGTGCCTGCTCTCATGCAGACTAAAGTTGTATGGTTTGTTGACATGAGTTATTGTAAAACTCAATGTTGCATGGGTTATTTGAGATATTATGTGGTTCAGAATAGAATTTGGAGATATTTTTTTCTACAAGTAGGAAGAAACTTTGGAATTTTGATGGGAATGTCTTCCTATTTGTGTATGGGATCTTCACTATTTTTCACTAGGTTATTATAATTTTCATTGAAGAGGTTTTTCACTTCCTGATTTATGTTGATTTCTAAACATTTTATTTTCTGGAGATAACCTGCTGGAAAGGCATTACTTTCTTTTCTGTTTGCTTGGTTTTTAATTGATTTTTTTGTTTTGTTTTGTTTTGAGCAATGCTGTTGCTCTATAAAATGATTGCAAGGTTTCATATGTGAGTTTTGCATCCTGTAACATTACTGAGTATGTTTATTCAACCAAGTTATAGTGGTATTTGGGTTTTATTTTATAAAGCTTATCATTTGTTTTTCAGAAATAATTTGGTAGCAAGAGATTGAACCCGATGAGGATGTATAGAAAGGATCTTGTTGTAGAGACATATTCCTAGAATTAGAAGCGTATACCTGCAGAAACCTTTGCATAAGAGCCACAGAAGAAAGAGAAATAAGGGATACATCTATTAGTGAATTAGGGAATATCAAAAACTAATCATAACTACAAATGAAATAAGAACCTCAGCTCAACTGGAGACTGGAAAATGAAATGCTAAAGCTTTCAATAGAGGGTACCAGCTGGAGTCATTATGAGAGTGGGAAGTTGATAGTAAGGTGTCCCAGTTTGGGAAAATGGAAATAAGATGTCATGATGTTACATTTAAACATCATGAATTTGTTAAATTTTTCCTTGTGGTGCTTAAGTTTTAAGGTTTGTTCAATGACCTACAAAAGCAAAGGTGTTTTTATATTGGCCTACTGTTATAGTGAAAACAAAGTTAGGAATGTCTAAAGTCTTCAGAATTGATCAATGTGACTTCTATCCTTACATATACATGTAAATACATGTATAAGTACACATGAAGACCTTATTTTGAAAAGAAGTACTATTTTACAACACTTTTTCCCTTTACCAAAGATAACAGTGGTCTGTCTGAGGGAAACTACTAGGACAATAACTTTTTCAAGCTGAACACATTTTCTCTTTTTGTTTTATTTACATATTGGAGCCTTTAAATTATTTCTAGTTTTTATGTAAGTGTATCTATAACAGAAAATATACAGTCATGTTAATAAGATCCTCCTCCAAGGTTGTATATTTAATCATTTCAATCACATTTTCTAATATTTAAACTGTAAAAATGAAAGAATCATTTATTAACCTGTTAAGTTTTTTTTTAATTTTTTTATTATTAAATTATAAAAGTTTCCATTTCAGCCCCTCCTCCTACCACCCTCCCACTCCCCCCACTCCCTCTCCTCCTCCCTCTCCATCCCCTAGAGCAGTCAGGGTTTCCTGCCCTGTGGGAAGTTCGAGTTCCTCCCCCCTCCCTCCAGGTCCAGGGAAGGTGAGAGTCCAAACAGACTGGAGCGCCAAAATCCAGTATATGCAGAGGAAGCAAGTCCCAGTGTCATTGTCAACGGCTTTTCAAAAAGGCTCCGGGACAGTCACATTCAGAGAATCTGGTTGGATCATGTCCTTGTAAATTTAAAAATCTGATACTGTTTTTGAGGACAGTGTTAATCATTATAAACTCTCTTGTCCCACCACAGATTTAGAATATATTCCAGTAACAGCATAACTCCAAACTTGTTCCCTTTAAGTTTTCTTATAAAGCATTTAAACCAATTCTAACTAATTTTTAAAGGAATTCTTTCTTAAAGAAGGAAAACTATAATCTCAGCCTAAAGAAAGACAGATACATATTACATAAACTTGCGATACAGTGTGTGCAAAAATTTTGTTATTCATATTTATCAGTGTGATCTTAATGGCTACTGTTGTTTTGTACTATACTGTACAATTAGACTATATTTTATGAATAGTGATTATAATGAAAGCCATAATTAATGTCATCAGTACATGAAATAGCTTTAGCATATTTGACTAAAAAGGCAACATATGTTATGTGTAGCAAACTTTCTAAACAAGAATTCTATGATTTGGAGAAGCATTGTGTAATCAATACCTAGTGTATATTCATTAGCAGCCATTTCTAGCAGCTGTTATATGGTGTGCGTTGCTCCAGATGTGAGGCCTGCCCTCAAAGTCGACATTCTAGTGTACATGTAGTAATGGACCTGTCAAGGATCTTATGTGCCAAAGTGTGTGTGCTTTAAAAGAAAGACCATGGAATTTAAAAGTTGTATTATAATCTAATTTTTCTGACATATTAAGAATTCCCATACTGCTGTACTGTGTTAGCATCAGGTTTAATGTTTTATAATAGAAATATTATTTGTACAAAAGTACAATAATTTAATCTCTTCGAATCAGCCACTACACTAACTTCTAATTTCTTTATTCGTTTAAAATTCACACCATGCCTTTTTTGCTTCTCTTTGACAGACCCACAAATAGGTTTGAATGAGACATGAAGGCATGGCACTGGCAGTGTTCTTTCTTCCTCATTTTCACATTGTCTCAGGACTCTCAAGGTAATTTCATTGGATATTACCTTTAAATGAAATTGAAAAGATTTTCTTGTGTACATTTATGTTTCTGTATATCAATATGTATATGTTCTGATGCCAGAGAGTGTCAGAATCTCTTAGAACTAGAGTTACAGATGCCCATCTGATGAGGGTGTTCAGGTCTGTACTCTGGGATTCTCTGCGAGAACAGATTTCTAAGGTACCTCTCCAGCCCTGACACCGTATTTTGAAAACAAAAATCAGAATGGGGCCAGAGAGATAGCTCAGCAGTCAAGAACACTTACTGTTTTTCCAGAGGACCCAGGTTTAATCCACACGGTGGCTCAAAGCCATCTATAGCTGTAGTCATAGGTGTGTGGGAAGGTGCTGTCTGATGCTATCATCTGTCCTCCTTGGGCACTGTACAAATGTGATTCACATGTATACATATTCAGGCAAACATTCATATACATAAAAATAAATAAAATGTTGCCAAAAATATCAGGGGAAAACAGAAGGCCGCTCCCAATACCCTATGCACTGCAATAGCATAGAGGAGTAAAAGTCCCAAGGTCTATAGTAGATGGCTGAAGGGGGTTCTATTAGAAGGAGATATTATCATGAAGATGTATGAGAGGGTGTAGTAAAGAAGTTGCTGACATATCCACTGTAAATATGAGAACGAATAGCCACAGGCATCTGGAGGAGTCCAGAACAAAGAGAGAAAGAAGTAGACTACATATGGCAAGAATACTGGACATTGGATATAACCAGGGTTATCTGTGATAAAGAGAATATCCAAAAAATGGAGAACAGAATAAAAAGAAAGAATTGTGAGACTAGCAATGGCAGGCAGAAATCCTTGCCTTTATAATGAGAACAAATGGATATCGGGGATGAGGGAGGCCTTGGGAAGTGAGAAGTCATTATCCTAGGTGGAGACTTTAAGATGTATAATAGGTGCTCATGACACTGAGGAAGTCTGGATGGTAGGATGGATTTTAATATGCAGGAAAAATATGTGTCAGTGAAGAGCCATATGTCCCCTTCTGTCACAGGTAAGGGAAATGACTCCTTTTTGGCAGATGGTAAGTGGTTTCACAAGTTCCTGAGGAATGCTGACATTTATCTAACCACCAGAAATCCTCCGAAAGTCCAGGTTAAAGTCATTTCTAGATATTTGGAATGCCTTTTGGAGTTTGGGGAACTGAATTGTCCTTTGGACCTGGCAGAAGAAGGCAAAATCAGATGGCATCCAACATCTTCCTAAGCAAACTGAGCCAAGGAGAGTAATTTGCAGCACAGAACATGAAGGGCAGGTGTCCATGTCAGAGAAGCAACAGATGGCAATTGACTTCATGGCGCTGGCCCACCAGGAAACATAGCGTTGATGGTTAAAGCTCAGATAGGCAAGGCCACAAGACCGCAGACCCAGAGTGTCTTTTGCTTCTGGTGTACCATCTTCCTCTGGTATCTGGCATGGTGTGAATGGGCTTAGGGAAATCCCCAATACCCTTAATGCTGCATTATCATCCCCTGGAAATGCCACATTCTACTTAGCATTTTTACTTGTGGATTATTATGAAGATGATGTCCTCCTAAGCTGTACTATTTAACTGAAAAATGATTTTATATAATAAGAGTGTTAGATTAAATAAGATTTTGTTGCTTGTGGGTCTTTAATAAATACAGTAAGGGATGACGATAGAAGTTAGTTTAGTGAAAAAAATAACATAGGTAAAGGTAGGATAAAATGTTGCCCCGGCCTCTGATAAAACAGAGGCTATAGAGGGAAAAAAACCAAGCAAGTGTCACATGTTACACAACTAGAAAACCTTAGTTTCCATTGAGGAGGCATATAGACTGTGGCTTAGATTAGTGATTAAGAAAAACCATTGAATCCAAGTAGCCCAGCTAGTCTAAATTCTTTAAATGTCAGTGTCAGGAGATGTGTTCACAGGTTTTGGAGTACATCACAGCAGAAACAAAGCTTTAAAAATGACTTAAGGTTAGAATGAGATGTTTTTGTCAAGTAACTTTGAGGTGAAAACCGCAAGACGACAATCTAAAGTGTTAGAAAGGCATAGAGTCAAGTGCGGAACTCTTTAAGGTCAGGAAACCAAAACCCAGTTATTATTAGCTGTTGTGCCTTTTGTGCTAGGATGGTAACTATAGGCAATGATTAATTCCTTGTGTCCATACCTTTCTAATATAAAAAAATCTGTTGATGAGTGAGTATGCACCCTAAGGGTTTAAATAGAGCTTACTGGTTCTTTTTCATATATGAAAGTTTAGATTTGTGATTCTTTTAAGATTTTGATAAGATTACCTTTTGAGATAAATATTAAAATAATTGGTCCTTTCTTTGTAACCACAATATGCAACCTGCCAACAAAAGGACTGGCTGAGAAAAATAACTTGCTTGCTTACACCCTGTTACTCTATAATAGTAAGTCACTTAGATGTAAATTTTGTGGGTTCTTCGGTGACAACCATGTTTTTACCTATATTCATTATAATCATTCACTTGGAAAATAAAATGTAACCACATTGTGATTTCTATATTGCCTGAAAGATTTTGTTCGGGTGTATAAGCCTTAGAGGAAGGATAAAGTCAGAAAATAGAGAATACAGAAGAAGAATAAAGAAAACCTCTGAAGGAAACCATCAAGAAGGTAAGTGTCTTTTCTGTTACCTTGTCAGATTAAAAAACAAATATCTTAGTACAGGGACTCCATGGATTCCCTTTGAGCCTTGTACTGATGGAGGCTGGCCCCCCAGGCAGCAGTAATAAAAGGCAGGTGAACCTGGAGAACTGAGTGAAAAAATGAGGACACAACTGTCTCTAGAATGATTTGAGGAGAAAGTTTTTTGTGGATATGAGGTAGAGCACAGCCAGGGGTACATGGAGGAGTCCAGACTGAACATAGCAAGAATCCTAACCAGGCTGTTTGAGGAGGGGGTGGAGAGCAAGAGAAGAGAGGGGAGACAAGAGAAGAGACCAGTAAACATCCAGGAGCAGAGCCAGCCAGCAGTAAAGAGAACCAAGAGAGCAAGAAGAAACACAGCCAAAAAGGATGAGATTTTTGTGGGGATCAAAAAGCTGCGGGGAGGGCACATGAAGCTCAGGGGCAAGGGTTTCAGAGTATGGGGCAGAAGAACCAGGACTCTATGAGCAGGACTCTATAGCAAACTCTACGAGGTTTTGGAGCAGCATATGTCTGCTTTCATATGTTAAATAGGCACCTCAGGCAGAGGTTCATAGATGAGTCATATGTTCCTTTATACCAGAGATAAGGAAAATGACTCCTTTTAGCAAGGGAATGCCAGCTTTTCCTACATGCCAGACTTTGTGGAAAGGAATTTCTTGAGACATAAGAAGAACAAGCTGAGGATATCCTACAGAGTCCATACTGTGAAAGACCAAGTCCAAAAGGATTTTCTGCATACAAACGATGCAATTCGTGTGCAAGAAGAAAATTTGTCTAAGTAGATAGACAAGTAGTTGAGTCCATACAAGAAAGAGATCACTGGGGAATAGGCAGAATAACAAGAAGGGGATCCTTGAGGAACACCACTGTCTGAGGTAAGCTAATGACTGCTGAGCCCAGCACAATGTCCAATCCTTTAATCCCAGCACTCCAGAGGCAGTAACAGGTGAATCTTTATGAGATTGAGGCCAGCCTGGTATAAAGGGTGAGTTCTAGAGCAGTCAGGGCTTTATACTGAGACCCTGACTCAAATACACACACAGAGAGGCCCACTGAGTTACAAGGCTCACACTTGTTAGCTAGCACAATGAATAAAGGTAATTACTCAAACCTAAGTACCTGAGTTCAATTTCCAGACTCCACATAGTCGAAGGAAAGACCAATTTTTACAAGTTGTCCTCTCATGTCCACACACATGCATGTACACCCATGCATGAGTGGGTAAATATAAATATAAAACAAAGAAATATAATTTTTTAAAAAACTAATAAGGGTTTATAATAATAAAAAGATCATGAAGAAACTTTGGTGAAGGTCATTCCATCTAGTAACCAGAGACCTAAACCTCAGTTCTCATCAGACAAAGAGAAGGGTTTTTCCACAGCTTCCCTTGCCAGTAAAGCTTAGGAGGGTCATCCCACACCATCCAAGAAGAAGACTGTAGCACGAGCACCTGAAGAACCAGCCTGCTGCTATCTTAGGCTTCAAAACCATCTTCTAGCAAAGAAAAACTAGGTTCATTCCTGTTTATGATTAAATCTATTTCTCAAGAATATGGGTATGCCCCACATGTAACCTTAACTAAAAAAGGTCCCATACTGCCTGTTCTAGGAAATGATGCCTTTGTTTCAAATGGTTGTTATGACTACCTCTTGTTATGACCACCTATTGTTAAGACTTCCTTATGACTGCCTTGCAAACATGTCTTTGTTTTAGAAGGTAGTTTTGACAAACTTGTTCTGCTTATGTTCTGCCTCTGTAACCCTACCTATTTGCCTGCCAAATTCCCCATTTGGAAAACCCCTTATCTTTGAGCAATAAAAACCTTGTCTTCCCCATATCCAATGCTGCACTCGTCAGCCCCACATTAGGCAGAGACAGAGCATGTACACAAATAAAAAAGTGTGCTTCAATTAATCTAGCCATGATGATTTGGGCCAGTGAACTTTCTTCCAAAATCTTCCAACAGTTCAGAGACCAGAGTGAATAGCCTAGAGCCTAGAGATCTGCTCAACCAAAGTGGTGGCACACTAGGTGGACTAAGTAATACTTCCCCTTCTTGGGGATATTTCTTAGTATGAAGGAAAGCTAAGAAGCAGCAGTAATCTTGCAAGGGTTTTGTTTCCTTAGGGAGAAAGGTATGAAAGCTGTAGAAAGTCAATGTAACATCCTAAACACTCCCTTAAAAGAGTATAGAATTCCAGAATGATTCTAAAAGGTAAACAGATTAATTGTAACAGGAGAGTGGGCCTTTTTGTTTGTCCCAGCCACCTGGCTACCTTACACTCGACATAACCACACAGAAATTGTAGTAATTAAATCACTGCCTGGGCCATTATCTCTAGTCTGTTATTGGCTAACTCTCACATCTTTATTTAAACCATTTCTATTTATCTGTGTTCACCACGAGGTTGTAGCTTACCAGGAAAGATTTAGCATGTCTGACCTATCGTCTCCAATGCAGCTCTTTGACTCTGCTTTTTTCTCCCAGAATTCAGTTCTGTCTTCTCAGCCTACCTAAGTTCTGCCCTAGCAGGCCAAGCATTTTCTTTATTGATTAACCAACGAAAGCAACACATAAGCAGAAGGACCTCTTACACTATTTCCCCTTTTCTGTTTAAACAAGAAGGAAGGCTTTAACTTTAACATAGCAAAATTACATATAACAAAACAATTATCAAGCAAGAACTACAGTGGCCATATTTATATCTACTTTATCTTTTATCATAACTAAGGAAAACTATAATAATAACTATCCATTCTTCAACTTCATCAAAGACTACAGAAGGATATAATATTACCTAAGGAAACAGGAAATGCATTGTAAGCAACTTCCAAAATTCTAGAAATGACAGAGATATCTCCACACCTGTACAGTCACCCAAAGTTCTTCTGTACCATTGGCGCATCCATCTTCAGCCTATAGGCCCAAACTATCCAGCAGACTTTTTCATAAAGCCAGAAATTTTAAAGACAGTTTAGTCATTGCCTTCTGTGTCCTATGGAATGTCTCACAGACTCTTTCATGAAGCAGGAACCCCAAAGGACCATCTCACCTATAGACAAGTTCAGTAGTTATCTCTCTGTGGGTTCTTCTAGTTCAGTTTATGCAACAGTTCAGGCAAGAGCAGTTTCTTGCCCAGATGGCTAACCAACTCCATAAAGAGTCTCTTTGATGCCCACCTTCCTCAAAAAGTAGCTTGGTGCTGCCAGAAGCAGATGTGTCTCATTGTCATGAAAAGTCCTAAGTTATTAAAACATTTTAAATGCCATATTCTTTAGTCTTTGAAAGATATGAAGAATGTCTATCTGAAATATACCTATGCACATCTAGAAAATCTAACATGACTACAAACTTGACTAATATAAATGATTATCTATTAACTTACATTTCTTAATTATATTTTTAAATGAGCCACACAATCATTCATATCTATATCATATCCCACTTTAAATGTAAAAGAACATTTGCAAACAATATTTGGGAATATGGGCATAGTTTTTTCTCTCCAAACTGCTTTGTGCTGAATGGGGCTGCTCTTAATCAGATCTTTCATGGTGTATACTGTATTCTAGGTTCATCTCAGTCAGCAGATGAGTGAAGTAATTTTTTGAGGGTATTTATGGCAACTTTTCAGGAGGGTGTGGTCTATCATGCCATATTGGTCTAGAAGCAATTCACAGGGTCTCATCTTCTGTGAAAACAAAAGAACCTCTTTTCCAAAGCATCATATCCTTAGACCCAAATTTTGAAGTCATAATACCTTTATAATATACATGCTGATTTAGCTGAGCAGCTCACACAATGAAACTTCTCTCTATACTTAGTTCCTTCAAAGTCAAAAAAATTGAAGAAAACACATAATATACAGAATCCAGACTCTGTGAATTTTCCATTTTTAGGTGGCTTATTTTTCTTTTTTATTAACCTATGACTATCTGTACTCTGTCTCTTTAAAGACTTTACCCTTTTTTAAAAGCATTAACTTTATTTTATGACTCTCTATATTCTTTTTCTTCTCTCTCTTAAGTCTACATACATTTATTCAACACTGTGATCCATTTTTAGGTCTTTTATGTCTGAATCTGTCCTTATTGCATTGTCTGTAATTTTTTACTTTTCAGGAACACTTTAGCCTTGTGCTTTTAAAATGCTAAGCACTTAAGAATATAAGCTGTGACATTCCTAGGTCAAATAAACGTACTGAGGACTTGCTCTGCCTAGTCCAACATGGCAGAGCCACTTACGCCTCTGAGAGCCAAGCACACTGACCCAACCTCACTTCCAGGTACAAAGCTGGTCCACTTTGCCATCAAGCAAGTTTGCAGCAATCTGATCACAAACCCCATTCAAATGCTCTGTTTCCAGCAAGAGACAGAGGTCTTGCTAACAGCATAGCACAGAGAGCTGGCATTTTAAAACTGCCACTTTTTGTCTGCTGCAGCTGCTGAGCCAGGAAAATCTCTCTGTGGCATACCACCAGTGAGCAGCAAAAAGCTGTGTTAAACTCCTTATATATATTTTTTTCTATAATTGTTTTTAAAGTCCTATTAGGTTTTACATGGAGTTAGTTGGACACATTGGGCCACCAAACTGTAGTAGGAGGAGAGTGGGCCCTTTTGTTTGTTCCAGCTGCCTGGCTAGCTTACACACAAAATAACCACACAGAAATTGTAGTAATTAAATCACTGCCTGGGCCATTATCTCTAGTCTGTTATTGGCTAACTCTCACATCTTGATTTAAACCTTTTCTATTAATCTGTGTTCACCACGAGGTCGTGGCTTGCCAGGAAAGATTTAGCATGTCTGACCTGGCGTCACCATTGTGGCTCTCTGACCCTGCTTCCTTCCTCCCAGAATTCAGTTCTGTCTTCTCAGCCTACCTAAGTTCTGCCCTATCAGGCCAAGTAGTTTCTTTATTGATTAACTAATGAAAGGAACACATAAGCAGAAGGACTTCCTATACAAATTAATCTTTCATTGCGTGTGAAATATTAGTAGAGTAGTAGTTTTTTTTTTTCAAGACAACATTTCTCTCTGCAACAGCACTAGTTGTTCTGGAATCTGCTCAGTATACCAGGCTGGCCTCAAACTTACAGAGATTTGCCTGCCTCTACCTCCCAAGTACAGGAATTAAAGGCATGCAACACCACCTCTTGGCTGTATATGAAATATTGTTATAATATTGTAAGTAATATTATTATGTGAAATACTGCTTCATATGTAATAAGATAATTTCACAAAAGCAATGTATTTTTCTTTTTTTAAGACAGACTTTCTCTGTGCAACAGCCCTACCTGTCCTAGAACTAGCTCTTGTAGATCAGGCTGTCCTCAAGCTCACAGAGATCCTCCTGCCTCTGCCTCCTGAGTGCTAGGATTAAAGACATGTGTCAATACCACATTGCAGATGGAATCACTCATTTTAAAGACTACCCTAGAAACAGGCTTTTATTCTGAATTAACTATGTGCTTTGTACTTCTTACTAATTGCAGAACATAGATCACAAGATGGGTTAAGGTGGTCATTATTAACTCAGGATCTCCAAATTTCTACCTTTAGGAACCCTAAATTCAACAATTCTAGTTCAAACCAAGATGTAAGATGTTTGCACTCTTCCAAGTGCCTTTGGGTCACCTGATGTTTTTCTCATCACTGGAATCACCTTATTATTCTCCGAAGACACTGTTTTCTCCAAGCCAGTGTGGACTTTGGAGCTCCTTCAAGTTCCAACTAGGATGCTGGACAAAGGCTAGTTTGCAGCCTTAATTATTGCTTTGTAAAAGGTCTAATTCCTTGATTGTAACAGAAAGCAATACAAACTTTAAAATCTGCAATAACCTCGTTGCATCTCTTTTCCCTCCTGACCTTCACCTTAACCCAGAATCCAGTTGGTTATTTACAGTCTATAGGTTTCTCAAAACAGAGACACTGAGATGGGAAGACTATTATGTCTAAAACAAAGACTTCTGTACAGTCTGGACTTTTGGCTTTATTGTAGAAGGTCCTCTCCATTATGGAAAGTGGGAGTTTTATTTTATTTTGATTTATTTTGTTTTGTTGAATTCTGCCGTCCATTTGGAAAACAAAAATAACTAAGTCTAAAAATGTAATACCCCAACTCCCCACCCACACCTTCTCTTTCTTCCAATTCACAGATTCTTTTTTTCACAGAACCAAGACAATATACCACTTTCTCTTTTGTGGGAGAGTTTTTGTTGTTGCTTTTTTCCTAGCTAGGGTGATTTTACTGATTTGGCCTTTCTGCTTTTAAGGATAAACTTTCCCTTTAAACTGAGAAGATACAACAAGGTTCATGTGATTAATACAGATTATGGGCTTTATCCCAAGGTGCACCATGTCCTCTGTATTAAAGATGGCATGTGACAACACACACGAAACTTCTGGGTACACAGATAAGCTTGATAACCTGAAAAGTTATCTTTAAACTTTACCAAATCTTTTCAGATGTCCTACGTTTCCAGCTAACCAATTTCCAAAACCTGCTCAGGAATGAGAGATCAGATGCTCTAAGCCATGTGCAAGTCTTTGAAGCACAAGTTCCTATTTATAGCTTTTATACTATAGCCAATGAAAAACAGGAAGTGTGTGTGTTAAAAAAATATACTTTTATCACAAAAATTATTAGTGATCATAATGAGTACACAAGTATCCAATCTTTTCATGTTGACAAAGAGCTGCTTCTGTATGTCCACAGTCTCCCCTCTACCTCCACACCTTCTGGCCCTTCTCCAGCTTAGTCTATTTGATGCTGCTTAAAGCTGTGGTATCTTTGTGGGTTATTTTATTCCAAGCACCCATAATTTTAAAAAAAATACAATTAAATTGCTTGTTAGGAATCTTTCCTACCAAAGAAGGGATACCTTAAAATGCTATAGTCATGAGTCAACTTTTGACTTTAGGAACAGAATTGGAACTGAAAATGACTTGTACAAAACTGAGATCTAGTGTGTTAAAGACACAGGAATCTAAGGGCCAGGTGGCTCAAGTGCTGAGAAGGCCCTTGAAGATCTGTGTAGAGCTCTCAGTAAATGCAGGTAGCCTGGTGTCAGCAGCTCTGCTGCCAGGACCTTGTCCTCATTCCATCATTTCCCTGAGAAGGCCAAAGGTGTCCTGGGGTTAACCTACATTCCAAGCCCATTCCATGGGTTTCTTTGTTGATCTTCATCTATCACCAATAATTGCCCACCCCTGCCCCTGAGCAATGGGATTATGGCTAGAGTAGTCCCTGGAGGAGGCATTTCCCCAGTTCTGACCCTGTGATTTGTTCCTGGGCAAAGCTGTAAATGATAGATGCCCCCTTGTAGTCTAACTTGTCTTTAAATAAAACCTCTTGCTCGTTCAGTGATATTTGGTATCATATGCAGTTTAAGAAGGTTTGGTAATTAGAAGTCTGTGTAATAGAGGCCAACAGGAAACACATGGATCACTCAACACCAGAAGGCAGAGCATTCATCTCTTCAACAGATCAGAGGACCCAAACCAGGGACAAATTGAAACCTGGCTCTCTGTGACTGAATAAAGATTTTAAGTGTGTAGTTGATGAGAGAAAAAGCAAACACTGAAATGTGAGGTGATTGCCAGCTGGTCTGTAACATGAAGGCCGACTTGTTGAGGTTTCTGTCCCACCCGGTACCCCACAACCAGCAAGTCCCAAAGAAAATCACACAGAGTCTACATTAGGTTATAAACTGATTGGCCCATTAGCTCAGTCTTCTTATTAACTAATTCTTACATCTTACAGTAATCCATAATTCTTGTCTATGTTAGCCATGTGGCTCAGTACCTTTTCCAGTGGGGCAGGTTACATCTTGCTTTTCTGTGGTCTGGGCAGAGATGGAGGAATGGGCTTCCTCCTTTCTAACCTTCTCCTGTTCTCATTGCCCCGCCTCTACTTCCTGTCTGGTTGACCTGCCTATACTTCTTGCCTTGCCAATCAGCATTTTATTAAAATACATGATTGACAGAATACAGATAATTCTCCTGCACCACTTCCCTTTCTTAAAAAACAAACAAAAAAAAACAAAAAAAAATCCATATATCCATACTCCATTTCTTGGGAATGTGGGTGTAGATGAAGCAGGCTACTTCCGGCTGGTTGGGGATGCTGATAATCTTATGAGGACCCAAAGAAAATTTAGAGTTATAATCAAGTCCTGACTGGAGTATCCTGTGAGACCTGATCATCTCAGGCAGCATCTTTAATCTGTTCTGTATTTAGAACTCAGACATTTGGGCCAGCTGTTCCTACCAGAGATTTCTCAGGTGATCTTCCTTGATCAAACTAGATTTTTCTTAACTCGGAATGAATCCAGAGCCTCTCATTTTCTGTGGAAACAAAAGCAAAATATTTTCTCCAAAGTAACATACCTTTTGACTTCAGTTTTGAAGCCAAGGTATTTTCAAAATACATATCTTGGGTTAGTTCAGCAGCATTTATAAACAAAAGTCTTTTAGCAGCTATTGCTCCTTACTCAGCATTCAAACAATTCAAAGAGAGCATAATAGCATACAGTATCAATATTCTCTGTGTATTTTCCATCTTTATGTGTCTTTATTTAAACCTCTATTTCTTTTATTTTTACTTTTACTTTTTGAGACAGGTTCTCTGTATATCTTTGTCCCGGAATAACTCTGTAGACCAGGTTGTCCTTGAACTCACAGAGATCCACCTGTGTCTGTCTCCCCAGTGCTAGGATTAAAGGTGTGTGCTACCACACTTTGAACTCAGAGATATGTCTGTCTCTGCCTCCCAGGCATTGGGATTAAAGGCCTGTGCTATCACACCTTGAAGTCACTGAGGTCAATCTACGTGTGCCTCCCAGTCATTGGGATTAAAGGTGTGTACCACCACACCCAACCACTCTCTTTCTTCTTTACTTAAGGAAATTTAACTTTTAGCCTGCATATATTTTTAACACACTGTAAACATTTAGAGATTTTTTTCATCTTTGAATTTCTCTTTACTGTATATCTCTCTTTTAAGGAGAGGATTAAAGCCGTGGCTTTGATGACTAGATCCAGGGCATTCCTTAGCTTTCCAGCCTTATGGTGGAGGTACTGGCTCTAGCCATTTTAAATGCCACAACTCTATGGCATTTCAAGGTCCTTGCCAGAAAGCAAGTTGCAGCATTCTGCTCACAGAACATCCTCAGTCGGACTGCCTGCCAGAAAGAGTCAGAGTTTGCACTGGCAGGATGGCCCAGAAAGCTGGCATTTTAAAATGGCACAGTTCTTTTTTTCCTGCTACGGCTGAAAACTGAAAAGCATGCAGTCAGCTTTTCATCAACACTACTCAAGTGTTTCGTGTCAGGACCTCTTAGTGAGCTGCAGGGTTTTGCAGATAAAGCTGAGTCAGGAAGCCTCTCTTAGATGAGAGTCTTGCTTGCCTCTAGCAAGCAGAGCAGACCTGAGAAATTGCTGCTACCAAGAAAACATGCTTTACTCTATTCTTTTCCAAGCTTTCTCAAGCTTTCTGTGGATTCAGCTATCCACGTGGGCACCATTTGTAACATGAAGACTGGCTTGTTGAGTTTTCTGTCCTGCCCAGTACCCCACAACCGGCAAGTCCCAAAGAAAATCACACAGAGTCTACATTAGGTTATAAACTGATTGGCCCATTAGCTCAGTCTTCTTATTAACTAATTCTTACATCTTATGGTAACCCATAATTCTTATCTGTGTTAGCCATGTGGCTCAGTACCTTTTCCAGTGGGGCAGGTTACAACTTGCTTCTCTGTGGTCTGGGCAGGGATGGAGGAATGGGCTTCCTACTTTCTAGCCTTCTCCTGTTCTCATTGTCCCACCTCTTCTTCCTGTCTGATTGACCTGCCTATACTTCCTGCCTGGCCAATCAGTGTTTTATTAAAATACATGATTGACAGAATACAGATAATTCTCCTGCATCACTGGTCCAATTTTTTTCTCTCAACAGACATGAGTTTTAGAGTCTCAAACTTTGCACCTGGTTTGTTCAATCTTAAGTGTTTATACTACAGTGTGTGACAAGTGTTCATAAACAGGAAAATAAAAAATAAAAATAAAAAACACTAAAGTCCCCATGTGAAGGAAAACCCCGGTGAGATAATTTTTAGATTTCTTATTAATCTTGGCTCCTTTTACTTACATTTTTCTCAAATGAGAGAGATTTTAATAAATGAATGGTTAACAGTGAATTTAAATTGGATGTCTTTGAGACTGGGGAGATGAAGCAGTAGTGAAGAGCACTTCTGCTCTTCTAGAGGACAGCAATCTGGTCCCCAACACCCACATTAGACCCAATGAACTCTTCTGGAGTCTGCAGGCCCTCACACTGTGTGCCATATATTCATAGACAAACAGAAGCACATATAAGTGTAAATTCTTAAAAACAAATGGATGTATAGTCTCCAGCTGAAGACTGATATTCTGATTTTCCTGAATAATGTGTAAAGTGTGAGAAGACAATTTCCTGAATGATGTGTAAAGTATGGAAGATATTTTCCTGAATCACCGGTGTGTAAAGTATGGGAAGACATTTTCCTGAATGGTGAGTAAAGTGTGGAAGATTTTCCCAAATGGTATGTTAAGTGTGGATGATATTTTCCTGAAGGGTCTGTAAAGTATAGAGAAACACTTTCCTAAATGGTTTGTAAAGGGTGGAGAAACAGCAAGTTATCAGATTTTTAGGATCGATGGGGTGAAAACAAAAAAATTCTACTGTCAGATTTAAGACATGGACATGTTTCTTAAAAGGGAATATTAGCTTATTATGATATAATTCAAAATTTATTTTAACATAAGCATTTAAAATTATTCCATAATATTGCTGTCACAT